CGCTTGTTGTGCTAACATATCTCGAAACATCATCATCATATCAATAATATCATTTGAAATTGTTTTATCACCCATGATAAATAAAAACACATTGACTTAGTCTTGCAAGATATATTAATCAATTTTATAAAATGTTTTAAAATAAATCACGCGTGTGTTTGATGCTGAAGCGTTGCATGAGCGACAACGGCAGCTTGTTGGATGCATGGATGCGTTTGTTCAGCGACGATGTAAGAATGTTGATATTTTTGCTGAGCATAGTTCGGTACGTGTCTATGCCGATGTGATTGTGTTCGTCAAAGTAATAGTTATGGATTTCATTGATGCCTTTCATTTCTTCGTCAATGAGTTTGTCTCTGGATGTGTTAACACCTTTGAAACGTTGCTTGACGATTTTATCACCATTGAAAAACACATAGCATTTCGGAGCAACAAGGATAGCTTTGTGATGCTGCGTTTCTATTTTGAATTCTCCAAATTCATCGCCATAGATGTCTCCAAGCTTGACGATGTCTTCATGACAGATGAATGCTGAGTCGGTGTCCATGCCGTAGACTTTGACTTTGCTTAGCACAGTATCGTACATATACGTGCGCGCGTAGGCGTAGATCAGCGATCCCCAGATGACAGGATTCTGAACACTTGTCCTCATTCGGTGTCCCTCAGCGATGATGTAATTTTTTCCAACGTAGTATTTAATTGTATCTTTATCTACTTTATTTTCAAATGCATATCGTTGTTTGTTGTTTTGTATAAACATGCTTATGTTTTCATACCGGCGTTGCGCAAGCTTGCCTGATAGCGCGTTCATCTGCAGTTTGCACAGCTCTCGCAATGCTGCGTTGTAATTTTTGTCATTTGTAGATTTGTATACATCTTGCCGCTTTTTCTCAGCCATTAGCTTGTCAAAATAGTTGTTGAAAATGCCAGATTCAGATGATTCCCAATAATAGCCTTTATGGATGACGATGTCGGCGCTGTACCTTAACAGACAGTCGATGTCCACTGAATTAAGCACACGCTCAATCTGACCTCTGTATTTCCAATCCAGCCTTCCATCGTCGTTTTTTCTGGGCACAATATTCGGTATAGGTTGCGAAACAATTGTCACATTATACACCCCTATTTTGTTGCGCATGTAGTGTTTCGTGAGTGTAGGTTGGCCAACGGGG